CAGGGCCCGATTGCGCTAAAAAAGAACCACCCTGAGGTCTTGGGACCAGGGGAAAACCTCCCCATCATTTTCCCCCCCCCCCCCCCCCCGGGCAGGGGGCAAACGCCGCGCCCTTGTGGAAGGGGGGCATGTGGCCCCCCCCCTCCCCACCTCCCCCCCCCCCCCCCTCCCCAGGAGCTCGAGAGCGAGTTCGCAGACTCCGACTGGAACGTCCTCTTCAAGTGAGCGAGGGAGGCTTGCCAACCCCGTGCGCCCCGTCTCACCCTCTCTCCCGCGTGCGCCCCTTACCAGGTGCTCCACAGACTGCAACCCGCTCTCGGTAGTATGACGGCGCGCGCGGCGCACGGCCCGCTGCTCGAGCAGCGGCGGCGGCGGCGGCGGCGGCGACAGCAGGCTGCTCGCGCCTCTGCGCGGGACGCGGGGCGTGCGCAGTGGGCCAAACTGGGCGCCGAGGAACCGCGTGGGCAGGACATTGCCTTCGCGCGCCGTCTAATTTATGTAGCGCTGGAGAAGCACCGCGCCCCCCTAGTAAAGTCTCGAGAGAGAGGTTGATGCGCGTCGAGATGTGAGAGATAAGTCCATAGTCCGCGGTCCGCGCGAACACGCAAGTCGCGCAACAGCGAATGCTTTAGTCATATAGTACGTCAGTAGTACGTGAATATCTCTTTTTTAAAGTTTTAAATCCTACGGCTCTAAAAATTACAAAAGAGCTGTAGAGCGCACGACGCGCACGCTCGACGGTCGAGACCTCGCGCGTGTCGCGACGCGCGCGCGGTCTCCCGCGGCGCCCGGCGCGGGACCGGGGGGAGGTAACTAAGGTAAGGTAAGGTAAACTTCTCCACACACACGAGGTGGTGGGGCAAGGGGGGGCAACCCTCGCGTCTCCACGTCTGACGACAGGAGCCCCACGGCATTCAAAGTGCAAGGCCCATTGCGCGTGGGTGAGCGGTGTGTGTGTGTGTGTGTGTGTGTGTGTGTGTGTGTGTGTGTGTGTGTGTGTGTGTGTGTGTGTGTGTGTGTGAGTGTCTCACGTCACTGCATCCTCTGCCGGTTCCTCCCGTCGCCTCTTCTTTGTTCGAATGTGTGGGGGGGGAGGTGTGGGAGAACGGCGAACGCACACTAGACTACGCACGTCGAGGTCGAGGAGCACTGACGCGCCACGTCCACGGGGCAGCCGCGGGGCCCGCTTGGCTAACGTAGAGCTGTACCGTAGCCGCATCGCGCAAGCAGCGCGGGCTGCGGAGGCGCACGAGCCACGACCCCCTCGTAGAGGCCAGAGCGCGCGCAGCGCGTGGAGAGGGGACCGAGACTGTGGGAGAGAGCTTTGCTCAAGCCTAAACTCCGTCCTCGAGACAAGGGTCCTGCCGAGACAAGCGGTCTTTCTGGTTGATCGTTTGACGTCCGAACAGCAGCACCACGGACACAGGCAAAGGCAGCTCAAACATACACGCACGTGAGCGACACAAATGACTGCTGACACAATGTGATGATATCTCAGGCATGCGGCTCGTGAGTTGGTCGCCCTTTCTCCTCGCGTCATCCGAGTAGGTGTGGGGCCTGCTTTGCCCGCCCGGAGTCATGTCGGTGGAAAGCATTCCAATGACTGGCCTACTTGCGCTGCTCATACAACCACGTTCCTATCTTGGACACCATCATCAAGCCCTGCGTCTCGGTGAAGTCGATCTTCCCGCTCTTTTCGTGAATCACCTCACCTGTATTCTCTAGCACCACTTTGAATTGCCCGAAGGTGTCATGTTTCGACAGCCTCACCTCGAGTTGTGAGTCTTCAAACTCTGACCGCAGGGTGGACGCCAAACGCTCTGCGACTTTCTTGTCGCTGGGCGAGGATCAGCTGCCGGCATTGCCTGCCATGCTGAAGAACTGGATATCGACGGTGGCCTTTGGCGTCAGCGATTTGGACGACAGCGCTCTGCGACAGCCGCGAGCGAGCATGTTCTCCAGCCGCCCCAGCCGCCCGGCCCGTCCTCTGGAGGTCTGGTGATGATTTGGATAATTTCTGCCCATAGGGGTGGTTGAGGGGTTGAGGGTTGAGGCCCCCCCTCAACCATCTGGTTGACGGTTGAGACCCCCCGTCAACCCTTTAGTTGGGGGTTGAGGCCTCCAGGGCCTATTCACAGGCTCGCGCGTGATCACAAGATAAACTGGAACAGCCCCTGCCGCCAAAAAAACGCTTCGCCTGCGGCGCGCTCTTGCGCTCCTCGTACCTCGAGCGCAATCCATAAGTAGGAGACGCTCACTGTCGCCATTCAGGCGCCTGATCTTTCAGCAAAGCGATGGCCTACCTGGTACGAGTTCAGATGCGCGCCCGGCAGAAGACGCGTGTGATGCCGCATGCAGTGGAATGCGCACAGAGAACGGACGGCAAGAGAAGGCAAGGGAAGGAAGAGAAACGGCTGGTGAAGCTCAGTTCACGGCGTAGTATTGCGGTCACTAACCATCCACGGCAAGAGTCACGGGTGAATGCTGCCGCATAAAAGCAACAGAGTCGCGCTTGGCGCGATGGTCTTGTCGCGGTTCACGACTTGACGTTGCACACGGTCATAGGATCTATTTGGCGAGTCTCAAGCAGCAAAAGTAGGCGCGAGAAATTAATGTTGATCCTGAGATCTCAATTTTGGCGCTAGTTTCGTTTTCTGGTACATCACGACGACTTGCTTGGGTCTCATGTAGCTCGACGGCTCTTGGACCATGGACGGCTCTTTCTGGTTGGATCAGACAGTGCTATCAGTCAGCAACGAACGCAATGCCGAGAGCAGGGCGGCCTTCGAGGAGGGTCAACTAAGCTCCTGCTGCATATCGAGCATGGAAGGCGGCCATTGCTCAAACCTGTTCGAGTTGGCCTCCGGGAACAAGGGTGCGTGGCCGGCGCGGTCTGTTTCACGTGCAATAAGGGCAACGCCATCAAAATCGCGAACATGACTCATGGCGGGCCGACATGCCTCCGACATTTCTCAGGGCTCGGACGGAAGCTCTGCAGACAGCCAGACCGCTCTGCGCGGTCGGACCGACTTTGTCAGACTTTACTATTCTGGATACTGTGAGGGTATGTGCTGCTAGATCTCACTGAGCTGAGCTCGTATCTGCCTTTTGGTAAAAGCAGTTTTGAGTTCGGTAATGTCTCCGGAGACGGAGGGCCGCGTCCGCGGACGGCCATGACTCGGCCGGGACCGCCCCGTGGGGGCCTTCGATGGCTGTCAGCGCTCCTCCGGGCTTTGCATCACACCTCCCATTCACGCACGTAGCTGAAGCAAGTACTCGTAAAAACGGCGCGTCAAATGCAGCATCCAGGCGTCTAAAGAAGACGACATGAATCGTCACAGAGAATGTGTGTTCAGACCTTGCGCGGGGGGTGTGAACAGCCATTCCGCGTGGTTGAGGGGTTGAAGGGGTCTGTCAACCACTTGGTTGAGGGTTGAGGCCTCTGTCAACCACGTGGTTGACAGTTGAGGCAATCGGCCTCAACCACCGCTATGAGTAGAATAATTAATTATTGTAGTTGGGAAAGTTGTCCCCGGCCTCCTTCACCTGTGCCACGTTACAATCTGTATTAGACGGCTGAAAAAAATCATCCGGGGCACTAAACATAAAAAGAACTAGACAGGACGGCCCGAATCGGCCGGAACCGACCCGTGGCGCGTGGGCCCGTCTGTCTGTCTGCCGCACCCACCCAGCTCCGCCGGGAGGGGCGCGCGCCCACCCCCGCGGCTCGGGCGGGCCACGCAGACGCGGCGGGCGGGAGAGGTTCACGTGCCCTGTAAGTTCCGCTACAGCCCTACACCGCCTCAAATAGGTCGCAAAGTGGGGTTTGCCTCAAGTCACAAGTGATGCCATCCTAGCCCCAAGAATTCTACGAATACAAGCCCCTCTCACAGCAGACTGGCACGAACTAGCACCACAAAAGGCACAGCCCCAAGAATGAGGACGAGACCAGACGAACGATCGCTCTCGAGTAGTGGGGGAAATGGTGATTTTTGAATGAACGCCTCGCGCAAAACCACCGCTACCATGCCACAGAAGACCCTTGTGGGCTATCCAGAACACCTAAGATCATGCCCTAGCTCTAAAGTGGGCCCGAGATATGCCAGCTAAGGCTAGTTCCACTTCACTGTGGCACAGCCCGCGTTACAAAACCTTGATTTGACCATTTCGCATTGCGCAAAAAG